CTTGTAAGGTATGAGATGGGCTCCCAGGGATTGGCCTTTTTTCAGCACATCCCACAGCTGCCTAATTCTAGTGAGAGATGGAGAATTTGCGAACCAAGTCAACACCTCAAACTCAAACCGTTTTTGAATCAGACCAGAGCACCTTCTTCCATAGCTCCGTGGTCCAGTTCTGATGCTCACATGCCCATTGTAGGTACTTTTGGCTGTGGACACAGATCAGCTCATGAATCCTGACTGGTTTGCAGTTACACAGCCCCATATGCAACAAACTGCAATGCATTAGTGTTGATATAAAAAAACTGGAGAATGCAATATCTGGTGCAGCTTTGTATAGTGACCAATCAACATCCAGTTTTATTTTATTTTTTTCGAAGCCCAACTAAACAAGTTGAAGTCAGAAGCAGATTGGCTACCATGCACCAGATTTTGTTCTCTTTAGTTTTAGTAAACCAACCCCATTGGGTGTTCAGACACCATTCTATTGGAAGCAGCATTAACGTTTTCAACAATCTGAGCTACAGTAGCTCTTCTATTGGATCAGACAAGCCGGGTCAGACTTCGCTTCCCACATGCATCAATGAGCCTTGGCTGCCCATGACCCTGTGGTCGGTTTGCTGGTTTTCCTTCTCTGAACCACTTCTGGTAGGTTCTGACTGCTGTAGATCACAAACATCCCACAGGAGCTGCATTTTTGGAGTTGCTCTGACCCAGGCATCTGGCTGTTACAATTTGGCCCTTGTCAAAGTCAATAAAATCCTAACACCTGCCCATTTTTTCTGCCTTTAACACATCAACTTCAGGGACAACATGTTCATTTGCTGCCTAATATAGCCTATCCACTTTGAGGTGCCATTGTAACAATATAATGTTATGGCTGATCAGTGTACATATTTCATCTTGTGTGATCCATCACACCCAATAAACTGGCTCAGAGCCATGGGTTGTTTCTTCCCGATGTCATATCCTTTAGGAGGGACAGAAGAGGGATTTTCTTTGCTACAGAGCACACAATACACAAAAATCCATCCATAGCAGAATGAAAGCTATAAAAAGGACATATCTGACACAGGCTTACGGGCTTTACAGTGAGGGGAATGCAAGGCCCACAACCCTTGCACACCAGGATGACCTGTCCCATAAAGTCCTCCACAAAAGGCACCAGCTGCCTTCGCAGTTGTGCTAGCCAGATTGGAGCTAGTACAGGGGAAGTAAGATCTAGCAGGCAAAAGCAGAATACAGAAGGTATTCCTGGTGGAGATGGCCAGGGGAAAACCAAAGTACCTCACACAACAGACAGCACTCCCAGGAATCAGAGACCATGCCTTCCAGGAAGCCAAGAATCTTGCAGAGTGCAGGAAGTCACAGAAGCCTAATGTAAACATGGCAACCATGGCTGCCAGTTGGCCACAATGTGTTAGTTCCAATTACCTGTCATTCCGAAAATGGGGACGTAAACCCATGGAACGATCATTGGCAGAAACAGACAGTGAAAAAGCACTGTCAGAAAGTTAGTGGCTAGCATGCACCCCCCCCCCCCCCCAATAGCCCTTACATATCACCTATGAGAAGGGGGAGAATGGAACTTAAACCCAGGATATAAATCGCTTTCTGTCTACACTGCCACCGGGGACCTCCGGGGTATCGAGAAGCTGCCTCAGGCCACAACCAAGGCACTGCCTGCCTGTCTGAGGACAATGTCTGGTTAGTCAGAACCACTGGTCAAATGTGCCCCTGCCAAGCGAGTTCTCACAGGCTGCTCTAGAGACACAGCTATCACAGCCAAACATGCTGTGGCAAAGAACTCCAATATTATCAATATAGGTGAAACAAGGAACTCGAATTTCCTGCTCAACAGTCGACTGAAGAAGAAGAATCCAAATCACATGGTACAAGGATAAAAGAAAAAAAAAGGAAATCCCCCCAACCAAAAAAAAAAAAAAAAAAAAAAACAGCAGCCAGTAGATTCCACCATTTGCATTTGTACCTAGTGCCCTACTCCTGCAGGTGACAGTATAACCCAGTGCTTCCACATTTATGATCTTTGCTGTGTCCTGCAATGAATGAAAGCGAAACATTAATTTTCTTTTATATTTAATGTATTCTTAATACTGCTTTAGGTGAAAAGTTACAGTATTAAACTGAGAGGCACTGCTATCTTTAGGCTCAGTGGCAGCTGCAGTCTAAAGGATTATTTTGTAAATGAACTTCCAGCACGCACGTGTTTACCATGAACAAACCAAACAACATCAAGCCAGATTTCTAAGGGTGACCAAGAGCTGAATGTATTGAATGACACTTGTACTGCTCATGCTACTTTGGGGGAGAGGTTACGTTAATCAAGCTCATCCAAAACTTTTGTCTTTAGATCCACCAGTAACTAGCATTAGGGAAATTAACCACTTGCCTACCGAGCACTTATACCCCCTTCCTGCCCAGGCCCATTTTCAGCTTTCAGTGCTGTCATTTTGAATGACAATTGCGCTGTCATGCAACACTGTACCCATATGACATTTTTATCATTTTTTTGAGACAGATAGAGCTTTCTTTTGGTAGTATTTAATCACCTCTGCATTTTTTTTTTTTTTAAACAAACCAAAAACTGAAAATTTAGAAAAAAAAAAAAAACATTTTGTCTTAGTTTTTGTTATAAAATTTTGTAAATAAGTTATTTTTCACTTAGTTTTTTCTCCTTCACTGATGTGCACTAATGAAGCTGCAGTGATGGGACCAATAGGCTGCACTGATGAGGCACTGTTAGGTGGCACTGATGGGCATTGAAAGGCGGCAATCATATGGTACTGACTGGTACTGTTAGGTGGCACTGATAGGCAGTACTGATAGGTGGCACAGACTGGCATTAATAGGTGGCACTGAAAGGCAGCTCAGATGGGCACTGATATGTGGCATTAATATGGCACTGGCAGGTGGCATTGATGGGGAATGACAGCTGGCATTGATGGACACTGACAGGTGGCGCTGCTGGGGCTACACTGATCATCAGCGTACACGTCTCCTCCGAGGAATGCTGATTACCCGTTCTCCTCTCCTCTCGAGCGGTCAGCGTGACAGCTCGTGAAGAGAGAAATGCCGATAACCGGCATTTCCTTAATTACATGCGATCAGCTGTGATTGGACACAGCTGATCATATGACTGAGCCGACATCTTCGGCTCTTTCCGTTGATCGGTGATCCGCTGTGTTTGAGAGACCGTGCACCACCGACTGCCACGCGCTCCCGGAGCTGATTAGAGTAGGACGTCATATGACATCCTCCCAAAACGAGAGAACCACCTTGCGCCCGTCATTTTCTTATATGGTGGGCGGGAGGCGGTTAAAAGTTTACTGTTATGTCCTTATAGCACAAAACTGCAACTGTGCTTTATATGTGACTGCCAAGTGGATAACCGTACAGCAGACAAAACTATAACCAGGCAATCTGAAAAAAAAAAATGTCCATAGAGCACTGAATCCAAAGAAATGAATAGTAACATTTAATTGCCTAACTGTATAATCTAACTCATCATGGCACAGAGTACAGTAGACTTATAAAACTTGTTTGTACTAGGCCTTAACCATAAAACATAACTGGGCAACAGAACAAAAAGTATCACTATTCAATTACAGTTCCATATATACACACACAGCAGAATTCATTGGTTATAATGTCTCAAAAATACATGTTATAGAAAAAATATATCTATACAGATGATTTTTGAGGACCTGTCAGAACCAGAAGGTGGCTTGAATAAATGAAACTTTTCCCTTCTGCCCGAAATATGGTAGTACTTTGGGGCACTTGTGCACACTGGACTCGTTTGAAGCACACCCTTCACTAGAATACAAGGTCCACTTATGTGTGGCTGTTCCCTCAACTTCCTTCTTTCAAATGCTGCAGTGTAGAAATAAATGGAGTAATGCAGTGTTTTGGAACAGGGGGTGGAGGCAGACCAATAGGAGGACATTGCATTTTATTGGAAGGTGTGCTTTAATGAGTCATAAAAAAAACAGCAATTACTGCATGTGCAAAATTCAGTAAGCCCAACCAAGCAAGCAAATTTAACTTTCACTGCACACTGCTGCCTGAAATCATTCAGTCTCCTCAAAATGCAAGTAGCTCTGAATAGCAAGTGGCAAAATGTGCAGCATTGTGATTGATGAAACGGTAGCAAAGAATTTTAAAAGAGGTGTTGCAGCTAGTGACAGACAGACACTTAGCTTTCATTAACTGGAAGTGCATTCATTAATTGTAAACAGCGTTATTGAAAGTAATATTTTGCATAAGCAGTCTGAAATAAAACTACTACCAAACCTAGAAGCCCTCCTTGAAGACACCGTTTTATGGCTTTTGAATGTACACACAATAGAGGCTTTTACATGTAAATAACATGCATGAAATACATTAAAAGCACCTATAACCTTATTGGAAGATTGTTGTTACAATGTTCTGGTGGCAGGGTCTCCAAGTATGGAAATTGTTTACATCGTTGCATTGATCCAGCTTGGACTAGCAGAAGTATGTATATGACAACCTATGGTAAACTGAAAAATCACTAGTAGGCACCGCTACTACATTGATTACGGTTAGCTCCTGGGTCCTGCGCAGAGCTGACGCACTGCTACTTACTGAACACAGGTGGTCACTTTCTTGGCACAGGAACCGGCACCATTAAGAACACTTTATTTTCTCAATTGCTCGAGGTGGAAATTGTAATATCAACATCTTAGCTCTCCACCTCATCCAGAGAACATTTTACATTCAACAAGAAAAAGTAAAATGTTCCCTGGATGGAGCCCATGCTGGGTAAGCAAGCTCCCTCCTGTGTTAACGATGCAGCAGAGATCATTGCAGCAGTGGTGCCTACTACATGGATTTCTTGCTTCCAGAGGGATCCCACAGTTATTGCACATACATACTTGCATTTGTCCAAGCTGGGCCAATGAAACTATGTAAAAATTGCCATGTCTGTAATTCATCTTTAAGCAAACAAAATTCTTATTGAACTATTTTCTTGTAGCGCTTTGAAACATGTCCAGTATGGTTTGCTGCTTGTTACTTGGTTTCAGGATTTTTACCCCATTAGGCGATGAGGGCTGTTCAGAAGTTTTTCTTTGCCCATTTCTAAGTGGCAAGGATTGTGCTTGTTTCTTTGGGGCAGGTTTTTTATTTTCATCAGAAGATTCTCCACTTTCTGAGCTCGTAGAACTGCTTTGATCCATACAGCACTTTGAAGCAGTCCTTCTCAGTGATGTAGATTCCAAAGGCTCCTGCTGTGGAGGGGTTCTTTTTGGCCGTAACTTGTACTCACCTGTGGAACCCTTCTGTCTGCTGACTTGTTTCACCTCATTGTCCAAGAGCCTCTGTAGTTTTAGAGCCAGAAGCCGGTCTTGTTCTTCCTGCAGTTTCCTCTCATGGAGAGTCTCTTCCAGTTCCATTAGCTTTTCTGTGTGATATCCAGGTGCTGTGCTGTCCTCCAGACAAGGCCTCTTTTCACTTGGCTCATCCTTTGTGTCTCCAAAGAAATCAAGAGTTCTTTTAGGTGAACGTTTATTCCAATGCGCAGGCATATTAGCTATATCAAGATTTTGTGGATTTTGCCATTTCCTACTACTATCTATAGAGCTGGAACACCTAGGAGGGGATAGCTCTGTAGTAGTCATTAAGTGAGCTTCATTTCTTACCGTTTGCCCTAAATCTTTGATTGTGGGTGACCATTCTGTCTGCAATGCATTTCTAGTAGGAGAGTATTTAGTCAGACCAGGTAGTCGAATCTCTGAATCTGATATTTCTATAGGACTAGGGTTAGGAGTGAAAGATGATTGAGAGGAGAGTATGGGCATTGCGTCGTCATCATCCACCGATTCCTCCAGCAAGGCCAAAACATTTTCAGCACCAGTAATCATATTCTGCGAATACAACAAATAAGACAATTAACAGTCTGGCTACACATACATTAAATCAGAAGCATAGACTATAAAGTCCAACAAATGACATCAAATGTCTATGAGCTGGTCAGGTCAATGTGCTTTCAAGCCTTGTTAGTACAACTTCAAATTCTAAAAAGTCTAAACATATGTTAATGCTATACAAAGGCTTCAACTTCTGCACAGACTCAAAATTGAGCCTCACTCTTCCTGGAGTGACACCCAGCCAACACAACTAGGGCAAGAGTGTCTACTAACCACGGAGTCTCTCACACTGGACTGTTGAGTGGCAGGTGCTTGCTCCAAGTCAGGGTAGAAGTTCTGCATGTGGCTCGGATGGAAGGGGGGGTGGGGATTGCCCCAACACCAGGTCGGAAAGGGGCCAGTTTGCATAAAAGTAAAAAATGTGCTGCACTGTTCCTTTAAACAAACAACTCTCACAAGTGAAAAGTGCAAAACTACTCAAAAACACCACTTTCATGTAACCAAGTGACAAATATTCATAGAGTACAGTAAATAAAGTGCTCAATAATAATGTGACCAATGATAAACGTCCAAGCAATAAGCAGAAATATTGTCCTTCTGTACCACCTTCAGTGCACCAGCACCTTAACACACATGTACTGCTTACCAGACGTGAAAGTGCTTCTAAAGCCTGGACATTATTTACCCTAATACACGCCCTGCATTAAGGGAAATAAAATGCCCCAGTGTTTGTATCACCCCCTCACCCTCCCTTTATACCTATCCAAGTCATATCTTGATATATAAAACTGTGCCAATCTGCATCAGTCTCGTAAAGACTGAGATTGAGCTCTGCAGTCACTTTTGCAGCAGTTCTCTTATTCCTGCGCAATGTCCTTTTGTCTTTTTCGGTCAGTTGACCATGGCGAACGCAGTTATGCTTATCAAAAGTTTTTGAAACACGGCAACTTCAGCAACAGGGACACCAGATAAAAGGCACCAACAATTTGCCCTCCTTGAAGCTCAGCAAGCTGTGATAAGACTGTATTACTAGCAGCGCATGTAGTGAATGACAAAAGTGAGGCTTCCCTCCGGTTAGCTAGGCGTCTCATCACACAGTAGAAGCAAAAGTGTTCAACCCAAAACATGTCGTCACTTTCACAACTGCAAATCATGCAGTTTTTCCATTTTTTGTCTACCTCTGTAAATGTAGGAAAGCTTCACTTTGTAAAGAATACACAATGTATATGCCATCATAAGCTTTGATACTCTACCTTGCCAAACAGCAAATAAATTAGCAACGTCAGCCACAGAGGCTGCCACCAACTAAGTGGCACCAACAATTTGCCCTCTTTGCATGTTATCTAGGTGTCTCATCACACAGTGGAAGCAAAAGAGTGGTACATCACTTCCACTGTGAAACATGTTGTCACTTTCACACCTGCAAATCATGTAGTGTTTCCATTTTTTTTTTGTCTAACCCCTGTACTTTACATTTGGTACATGTTCTCATTCACTGAAAAATTCTGTCATTCGCTTTGTTTATGAGGGGGTCGAGGACCAGTGTTTGCCATAATTAACAATGTTTGTACTGTGCTGGCAGATCTCGTTAACAGTTGTACATAATATTTGAACACTGTGGGGAATTCATGCTGCTGTGTCACTTTTCTGTCGTTAACCCCTTGTAGATGTTTTGCAATAAATTCATGAAGCATTTGTGACACTTTTGGTTAAGACAGGGACTTGTGCACCAAATTCAGGTAGTTCTAAACTATGCCACTTTTACACGGTGTTGCATTGAATGCCTTAGATGTAAAAGAAACCAACTCTCTTTCAGTTGGTTAAAAAAAAAAACTGTCTCAGACAGAGTTTGCAGAAGTATCTCATGTGGCTTCTAAAAGTGGTGTAGCATGAGCCAAATTCAAGTACAAGTTTTAAATAGGTAAATTAATTTGGTGCATTTTTTCACCAATTTGTAGAAAGCATGAGAAACACTTTTTGCAAAATCTGTCTGCACCAGTCTTTATGAATTCCAGGGTGTATGTTCTAACAGTTACAAAATTAGAAACTGGGCTTCTTGCATTGAATGTTAAAACCAGGAAGCGCAATCGGTCGTTAGGAAAGACTCATATTGTTCAGTACTGCTTGAAGTCAGCCATGAAGCCTTCAGCCTCCTACCAGCTAGAAACTTTCTGCAAGCTTCAGTATCCCAAACTTCTAGAGCAGGGGTGTCAAACTGGTGGCCCTCCAGCTGTTGCGAAACTACAAGTCCCATCATGCCTCTGCCTTTGGGAGTCATGCTTATAACTGTCAATCTTGCAATACATCATGGGGCTTGTAGTTTGGCAACAGTTGAAGGGCTGCCAGTTTGACACTCGTGCTCTAGGGCAGCGTTTTTCAACCACTGTGCCGCGGCACACTAGTGTGCCGTGAGATATTGTCTGGTGTGCCGTGGGAAAAATTCCAATTTCATCCGCAACATGTGGCCTCGGCTCACAAATAGACCAATCGTTAGAATCTAATGATTGGTCTATTTGTGAGCCGAAGCGCATGTTACGGACTATAAATAGCTCCGGTGTCACTGTTACACTGACAGGAGAAGACATCGCAGTAGATCGCCGATGCGCAGAAGAGCACCGAAGGATCTGGACTCTGGAGGATTATCGCGGACTCAGCACAGAAGAGCGCTGAGTGATGGATCTGGAGGAGACAGGAGCAGAAGAGCGCTGACTGATGGATCTGGATGGAGTGTGACGGACAGCGGCTATCTGGAGGAGACAAGCGCAGTAAGTACTGAGTGACAGTGAGACAGGAACAGATACTGCAGTGATGGACAAATTTTTGAAAAGGAAAGAACTGGACTCTGAACAAAATTCGGAGCCAGATAAGAGCCCAAGTATGAGTGGGGATCAAAAGAAAGCAAAGATGGTTAGCTCAAGGAAATTTCCCTGGCACAAGGCAATATAGCGAAAGCTATATTTCATTTGGATTTACTTTCACTGGAGATGCAAAGAAACCAACTCCACTGTGTGTGGTGAAAAGCTATCTAACAGTGCTATGGTCCCAAGTAAACTTAAACGCCATCTCCAAACGAAACACCCTTCGCTTCAAAACAAGAATGCAGACTTTTTTGTTCACCTGCATGAAAACACGGAGAAACAGGCAACTTTCATGAGAAAAACCACAAAGGTAAATGAAAGAGCTCTTAAAGCTAGCTATCAAGTTGCTGAACTTATAGCCAAGTCAAAAAAGTTGCACACTGTGGCAGAGACATTAATACTTCCCGCCTGCAAAGCTATTGTAGAGGAGATGCTCGGATATGAAGCAGCTAAGTCAATATAGGCACAGAGGTAAATTTTTTTAACATTTTCTAATGGTGGTGTGCCTCGTGATTTTTTTCATAAAAAAAGTGTGCCTTTGCACAAAAAAGGTTGAAAAACACTGCTCTAGGGAATCACAATGGCTGCCTTTATAAAGTTTTATGTGGCACTAAAGGTATTATACTTACCTCCTCTCTAAGAGCCCAGGTCCCTCATCAGTGCCAGTCCTCTGGCATCTGCACTGGCCAGCGAGGGTTGATGAAACTCATGCACATTTGCAGGAGTCAGTCATCCTGGCACACAGGGACGAGATGTAAGCACATGAACAGCTTACATCACATGCTGTAGAACACTGCGAGCAGGTGGGCTATCATCACAGAAGAGACATGCAAAGTTTCTTCTGTCATAAGATACGGCAAAAGAGACTTTGCATGTCTCTCCTGTGATAATAGCCCAAATGCTGGCAGTCTATTACAAAATGCCTTCAGTTCCGTTTTTAAGCCAGGAATTTCTGCCTTCTCCCACTGCAAGCTACAGATGTGAAGTTCAGGAATGACAACCTCATGCACCTCCAAGCTCAACTCAACCTATTAATAAAGTCAACCTATTAATAAAGTCTAGCATCTTGCTCATGGCCACATTCATAATAATGACCCAGCCTGCGCAGCCAAATTGCAAGTCTTCCATCTTGGCTACAGAATGCCCTCCACCATCAACACTTTGAGGTCCGCCTAGCATCAAATCAGTCATAAGAGGCAGATCTGTCTAAAGGTCACTAACAGCTATCTGACAACCAGCTTAGATGTACTCCTGATGATCTACAGGGATTTGTTACTGAAGAAAGGAAAGCATGATTTCTGAATTCATTCAGCTGCAGTCACTCCAGTATCGCAATGGAAAAAAACAATTTATTCCTAGGTGGCTGAAATCTTAATTTGAAAAACAGATTTACCTGAAGTTCCCCATTTTGGATATGACTAGACCTGTCAGTATCAACAATCTTCACTGATATAGGTGACAGAAACCTGCAACATAGAACAAATTAACTTTAAAGGATGTGTGCTCTTTAAAACAAAGTGCACTAAACACTTTACTCTGACCTAACCAAACTCACCCTCTCCCTCCATAGATGCATAGTTATACTGGCCCAACAGCTGCGGCCTCCAGTGTTTGTTATCATACTGGCAATGCCTACATGCTGTAGTCTCAGACATCTATAGGGATGTGTTGCGAGGCCAGGGATGAAGGGAGATGGCCCCATAGAGGTCTATGGGGTTGTAATACACACACACACACACACACACACACACACAACAAACACTGGAGGCCACAGCCATTGAATCAAGGTAAAGTGTGCATCTTTGGAGTGGGTTAGATTCAGATTTGTGCAGCAAAGAATGCACTACCATGAAATAAGCTCAGCAGTAAAAGTATTATCAAGTCACATTCTTGCCAACAGAAAAACACAAACTCAGTATTTTAGAAGCTATTTTCAGCCTCGAAGCTGGTTGCTAAAACCTGAATACAGGCTCTCACTCTCCTGAAGAGGCTCAAATGGGGCGCAGACAGGAGGGTGGATAATGTTACGATCTTTGCCTCAGCCAGACAGACAATCAGAGGAAGCTCTGCATTCAGAGAACACAAAGCTGCCTATGAATGGCTGAGAACCGCTCAACCTAACTTAATTTTGTTCTGGTTGTGGAAACAGGATGTTCGTATCCCACAGCCATAAGACAAGGTTGTATACTGTATGTAGCTGGGGCTACATACAGTTTATACAGCACACACAGCAGGCACATCTGTTAGTGTAGGAAATAGTTTGTTTTGGCCAGCTGAGCACAAATTATATAAAGTGAGAGTAAAGCTAGAGATCAGATTTAAAGTGGAATTCCAGCCATTACCTAATGCTAAACCTACTCCCCTGTAAAGAAAAGACTGCTATACTTACCTATTCTGAAGCCGCTCTGGTCTGGTCTCCAGCAGTGGCTTCAGTGCAGAAGAGAAAGCCAACAACAGCTGGGAAATGTCTAGGAGATGTCACCCATAGACTTACTATGGGGCATCCATCATCGGCTGCCTCTGCTGCACACAGCAGCTGCTGCTTACAGATCAGCCTGGGACCGTACCAACTTCAGTAAAAGTATAGCAATCTTTTCTTTACAGGGTTAGAAAGAATAGGTTTAGAATGGGGGGGGGGGGGGGGGGGGGGTAGTGACTCGAATTCCACTTTAAGAGACCAGAAGAGGACCCAGTGCTTTTGACAAGACAGTGTCCATACAGTACAAAATTGATGCAATACTGATGTTTAATTTGACCGAGTCATATATGGTACCATCATTTTGCCATTCCTAATCAAGTTAGATTTTCTGCTGCAAGATTCCACTTAACACTGTAAATGACTTCCTTCCTCACCTCTGAATGTCTCCAAACTGTGTCCTGTTGCTTTTCATATGTTTACAAGACTTTACAGCGACTGCCTTCTTGATGACTATAGGTGACTCCAGTGGAGATATTTGAACAGATGATGCTGTGGACTCATTCTAGTGGGGGGAAAAAAAATAAAGTTAAACCTTTAGTTGTATTCACACTACACAGCCGGTAAATCACAGCGATCCACCCCCCTATCTGCTCTTTTGCCTGCTGCGGTAGGGGGCAGAGGGATGTGCAATTCAGCGCATCATATGGCACCCCTCCCCCCTTTTTTTTTGTTTTGAACAAACTATGTGAAGTGTACAAAAACATACAGTGCAATGTCGGGCGTCGCAATGTGCTTTCCTGTGTCCCTGCGGAGACAGACGTTTTACCATGTAGTAAAACGTCTGTCACCAAACATAATGTGAAATGGACCTTAAAGTGGTCGTAAAGGCTCAAGGTGTCTTACCTTCATACATTCTATGCATGAAAGGGGGGGGTAAGTGTGCTACTTACCCCCCCTCGATCCAGCGATGACCACGAAAGCCTCAGTTCTCCGGGGACTCTTACTCCTGATTGGCTGAGGCAGCAGTGGGAGCCATTCAGAAGTCGGGGCCGAGATGAAAGGCAGAGTCGCCGCTCGGGGACACTCAGCAGGTGGGAGTGGGCAGGAGCACCAGTGGGGGACCAGAGAAGAGGAGGATACGAGCTGCTCTGTGCATAAACCACTGCACAGAGCAGGTTAGTAGAACGTTTCTTTTTTTTGTTTTTTTTAAACAAGGCTTTAATATCACTTTAAAGTGTAACCACAGTTTTGTTAAAAAAAAAAACAAATTCTAGGTGCTCTATATACATTGCAAGGATTTTGGCACACTTGCTTCAGAACAGAAAAAGGCTGGAATCTGCAACAAATGTTTTTTATCATATCATTGCCAGGCTAATTCCTGAATTGGAGAGACTGCCTCATAAGCAAATCTAAGTGTTCTAATGAGAAAAGCTACAGGGCCTTCAGACCTTTAGAAGTTGTGGAAATTTTGACACATCTTGGAAAAGATGTGGGAAAACCAGTGTGTCAATCACACAAACAAGAAAACAACAAATATATACACACATACACGTGAGTACACCCCTCACATTTTTGTAAATATTTTATTCTATCTTTTCATGCGACAACACTGAAGAAATGACACTTTGCTACAATGTAAAGTAGTGAGTGTACAGCTTGTATAACAGTGTAAATTTGCTGTCCCCTCAAAATAACTCACACAGCCATTACTGTCTAGACTGCTGGCAACAAAAGTGAGTACACCCCTAAGTGAAAATGTCCAAATTGGGCCCAATTAGCCATTTTCCCTCCCCGGTGTCATGTGACTTATTGGTGTTACAAGGTCTCAGGTGTGAATGGGGAGCAGGTGTGTTAAATTTGGTGTTATCGCTCTCACTCTCTCATACTGGTCACTGGAAGTTCAATATGGCACCTCATGACAAAGAACTCTCTGAGGATCTGAAAAAAAGAATTGTTACTCTACATAAAGATGGCCTAGGCTATAAGAAGATTGCCAAGACCCTGAAACTGAGCTGCAGCACGGTGGCCAAGACCATACAGTGGCTTAACAGGACAGGTTCCACTCAGAACAGGCCTTCCCATGGTCGACCAAAGAAGTTGAGTGCACGTGCTCAGAGTCATATCCACAGGTTGTCTTTGGGAAATAGATGCATAAGTGCTGACAGCATTACTACAGAGGTTTAAGGGGTGGGGGGGGGGGGTCAGCCTGTCAGTGCTCAGACCATATGCCGCACACTGCATCAAATTGGTCTGCATGGCTATCATCCTAGAAGGAAGCTTCTTCTAAAGATGATGCACAAGAAAGCCTACAAAACAGTTTGCTGAAGACAAGCAGACTAAGGACATGGATTACTGGAACCATGTACTGTGGTCTGATGAGAACAAGATAAACTGATTTGATTCAGATGGTGTCAAGCGTGTGTGGTGGCAACCAGGTGAGGAGTACAAAGACAAGTGTGTCTTGCCTACAATCAAGCATGGTGGTGGGAGTGTCATGGTCTGGGGCTGCATGAGTGCTGCCGTCATCAATGAGCTACAGTTCATTGAGGGAACCATGAATGCAAACATGTACTGTGACATACTGAAGCAGAGCATGACCCCCCCCCCCCTTAGGAGACTGGGCCGCAGGGCAGTATTCCAACATGATAACCACTGCCTTGCTAAAGAAGCTGAGGATAAAGGTGATGGACTGACCAAGCATGTCTCCAGACCTAACCCCTATTGAGCATCTGTGGGGCATCCTCAAACGAGAGGTGGAAGAGCGCAAGGTCTCTAACATCCACCAGCTCCATGATGTCATCATGGAGGAGTGGAAGAGGACTCCAGTGGCAGTAATGTCACTGCCGCACCATATTTTCTCCACTTGATGATGACTATCTTCACTGTGTTCCATGGTATATCTAATGCCTTGGAAATTCTTTTGTACTCTTCTCCTGACTGATACAGTTTAACAATGAGATCCCTCTAATGCTTTGGAAGCTCTCCGCGGACCATGGCTTTTTCTGTAGGATGCAACTAAGAAAATGTCAGGAAAGACCTACAACAGCTGAACTTTATTTGGGGTTAATCAGAGGCACTTTAAATGATAGCAGGTGCACTGACTCCTATTTAACATAATTTTAAATTTCCTAATTCTGAACACAGCTACATCCCCAGTTATAAGAGGGTGTGCACACTTATGCAACCACATTATTTTAGTTTTTTAACCCCCTCCCCCCCCCCAAAAAAAAACAACAAATATCTGTTTTTCAATCTAGTTGTACAGTTTATAGGTCACATTAAAAAGGTGGAAAAAAAAGTTCCAAAATTGTTTATCTGTGTCTCATTTTTTTACATCACAGAAACCTGACATTTTAGCAGGGGTGTGTATACTTTTTATCTACAGTGTATGTATATGTATAGATTTCCCTTTAAGTGTAAATATTTACAAAAAATTAACAATGAGCCATATGGCTTCTACATAGTCTCACTATTTACCAGATCACTGCTGAGCATCCAGGCGAGCTCCTCATCTTTTTTCATCTGCTGTTCCAGCTCCCTTTGTGTGTGTTCTAGAGACAATCGCTGCTCCGCTTCCTCCTCTGCCAAAAGCTTATGAATATAATCCTCACTTGCCTTACTTTCTTCCTCTTCTCTCCTGAGCCGCTCAGCTTCAATCTAAGAGGACACACAAGTAGACTCTACAAAAACTAAAATCTATATACACACATTGTTGAGAAAAATGGCAAGATCTGAAACAGAATCATGAAACTCTGCTAACTGGTTATGTAAAAGTAGAATACAAGGATATAATACAGCCCCAAAATGTGTTTGTGGTTGAAAAAAAGATTAAAAAAAAAAAAAAATTGCACTCCAGCACCACTTCCAAAACACACTTTCCGAGCATCAGGCTGCTCTTTGGTCAGGAAGCAGGAGCCTTGCTGATTGGAAAGTAGTAATTTTTATGAAAGGGCATGCTGGACCACTAGATAGACTGCTGTTGTCTCAGGGAACAGCAACCCTTGTCTTCTGCCTGCTGCTGGGGAAAGTGAGTTCCAAAAGCAGAAAAGTAGTCTTCCTAGCTGCCAAACAAGTCACTGACTGCAGCATTTGAGGTAAAAAAAAAATAATGGCATTATCTACCTGAAATATTAATGTATTAGAACTACTTCTTACCTTACTTATTTCAGCTTCATATTCTTTTCTGATTTCCCCTGGATTGCACAGTTGTCGAGCTGGATGAGGTGTGAAGTCTAGGGCAAAAAGCAGCAAAACATCAGGTAATACTTATTTTAACCAAAATTAAAGCACAAACAAGCAGGCAGTTTCAGAAGCAGCTTAGCAATGACACCATCATATTTCTAACATGACAAATGTATTTTAACAGGGAAACATTAGCAAAAATATTCCGTCATCAAGGGGTTTGAAATAATGTTTTATTTTTAAACCAGGACATTACTGAAAACCAGACTGATATTTTTGCACAAATTGTATTGGAAACTGTATTTTATCTTCTACACTAATGACCTGTGTACACCTCTGTTTATTACTTTTTGCATCTAAACATATGGAGAGCTATTTTTTATTTATTATCAGTAGTATACAGTAGGTCTCCGATAACATAAAAGGCTTATAGAAAGAAAAAAAAATTAAACACATTAAAAACACAACACAATATATGAAAAAAGTGCCACAAAACATTAAAGAATATATTTACCTCAACATTTCATATTCCTGACATGTACTATGTACTTGTATGAAAAAGTATCTTGTTCTTTGTATTGCTTCCTTTGCGTGAAATCCCTGATGTTCCTGTCAGTCACTCTGCTTTTCCATTAAATACGAACTATACTAGGCAGGAGTGTGCTTAGTTTTCTGCCTGTGCTGGGAACTCAGCCTGCTCTCCTCCAATGATCAGACTTGTGCTGACACCCCCCCCACCGCACAACCATTTACTGAGAAAACCAGTGTGCTGCTGTTTCTCCATCCCCAGCTCTCTGAGCTTTTTATGCAGTTGGGAACAGAGTTATGTGATAAAAAAAAAAAAAAAGAAAGCGAAAATAATTTTATTTATATGTATATATAAATGTTTTGCCTTTCATTTCTATTTTAAACTGAATGGGTTGTTTTACAAGGTGAGGGCTCACTTATACTTTAACACTGCATGCATTTTAAGCACAGAAATTTGAATGCGTCTTCACTCTAATCATACATCACAATTATTTCCCTTTTGAGTTTTGCAAGTCGTTTGTTCTCTGTACATTGCTCTTGCATCAGAGGGAAAAAAGCTAGCAACATACATAGATAACATAAGTGGTCTCACCATCTTCAAATTCATCTTCTTCAGTGTCTAGTCCAGAAGTACGGCGTTTGCACTCCTCTGGATACTGACGCTGGATGATCTCCCAAAGTTCCTTGTTGATTAGTGTTCCTGAGCGGGCACTGTGACGAGCCCAGGAGGAAACTCGCAGCCTACAAAAAGGGCAGCACAGGCTAGCTTTCTCCACAGTCTTCTGGAAACAGGGATGGCACAAAGTATGACTGCATGGGAGCGTCACCGGCTCCAATAAGATCTCCCGACAAATGGCACACAGGCATTCTGATCGTGGCAAAGGAGAAGCTTGTTTTTTTGGCATGCTGGATTTAAACTTTATTCTTCATCTGCAGACCAGAGATGTGACACTTACAAGATGCCCCAATAAATATATGTGGTATTTACAGCATTACATTAGAAAATACATTTCTTATCACAATTTCACACATTACCTGATTAACAAAGATCTAACTCCTGAAAATAATTTTTTTTTTTTTTTAAACTTTCTTGCTAAAGTAAATATGTCTAGGGGTATGTGTAAATCAACAAGCATGCTTTCATGTGCGTTCAGCCATCATTCATGGTGCCTAAAGTAGAATTAAAAGGCAATCCTATTTCCTATTTTGCATAGTGTGAGGGATGATTTAGTCCCTTGTCCGTTTGTTTTTTTTTTCCCCCATCTGTGTCTCATTGGGGAGACATCACTTCCTGTTCCATAGCCAAAACAAAAAATAAGAAGCCCCTCCTTCCAAAGTAAAGGAATTCAGGGGTGTCACCAGAACTAGTGTCTTCCATTCCCTCCCCCCCCCCATTATTATTCTGATGTCAACCCAACATGGGATTTTCTTTTACTCCCACTTCTGATAAGGATAAAAAGGCACAAATGGAGAGGATGAATCTCCCCAACAGGGGCACAGGCAAAAAAAAAAAACCAAAAAAAAAAAAAAAACCACATCTGACGGGGGTTCCAGTCCCTCGGAAACTCTATCCAAAACTAAGAAAAGTTTTACCTTTAGTTGTTTCTTTCATAGACACAATTGGCCTCCTGGGTTGCTCTTTGATTGCTCGGCTTTCCCTTTTGTTTGCATGGGGAAAAAATAGTATATTTGTGCTTGCCAAAAAACATTTTATTGGAGCCAATTGAAGGGCACAGGAAGTCATAACCCTTCGGGTCAGGGGCGGACTGACAACTCATGGGGCCCCCGGGCAATAGGGGATCATGGGGCCCGTGTGTCCTTGCCCAAACTCAAAAAAGCCTATGAAAAAGGTACCAGGGGCATCTAATGGGGCCCTCTACTGACCCCGGCCCTCGGGCAGTGCCCAAGTTTCCAAATGGTCAGTCTGCCCCTGCTTCGGGTTACAGTCCAGCCTAAAGGATGACCAGAATAACTCCCTACAACAGCATGCCTTAGTTTTGTAGCAAAGCGGTAAAAAGAAATAATAACCCAAAAAACTGGTAACTACTGGCAGCTCATAGGTCAAGGCCAAAATGCCTTGTAGAACGTAGAAAAAATGTGAGCAGAAGACTCAGTGGCAGCCTTGCAAATCTGAGAAACAGTTTCCTGATGATGAAAAGCCCAAAAAAGCAATCATAGGACTAGGAGTGAGTACCTTAACCAGAATGGAATTCAGTCCTTGAGACCATAAGCTTTAAATGATGATCTGCCAGAGCCACCTAGAGATGGTGGAAAAAGATGCCGATGCACACTTTTGAGGTCCACCAAGAATGGCACATAGGGTATCAGTCTTTATGAAAGAAGTAGTGGCTGAAAGACAGACTCTCCTAGTCTGAGCCACATCCAGACAAAGGAAGCACATTTCCTTTTGGTAAACTGAAGCCAGACAGAGGGACAGAAGAATAATGTCCTGTTTGAGTTAAGAGGCAGAAAACTACCATAGGCAAGAAGATGTTCTGGTTCTCAACATGACTTTGTACCTATGCAAATCATAACTGGTGCCTTGCAGGATAAGACCACCAGTTTAGAAACCTGCCTTGCTGAGGTGACAGCTACAAGAGACACCACCTTGCGGGTAAGAGCAGAGAGAAGAATGTCTCTAATTGGTTCAACCAGCTGGCAGTCTCTTAAGCACTGAGAGAACCAGATTCAGATCCCACAGAATCACAAGCAGCAGATGGGTGGACCTACAAGGAATAACTGAAGAAAGGTCTTAAAGGTCCACCTTCTCACAATAAATGCACATTCATTGCAGGCAACTTTTAATTTACAATTTTGTTTTAGGAGCTTGGAAAGAATTGTACTCGCGGTCAGCAGATCGTTATAGCCATGCAGGTCTCCAGCAGACTGTCAGTGTAAGCTGTCTACCCGTACATCGTACAGGCAGGAAGTTTTCCACTGACAGGAAGAATCAATGAATCAACACAGCGCCCTGGTAATTCATTGTGAACTACAAGCCAAAAGCCCCAAAGGGATCAGTGAATCAATGATGCGGCCTTGTAGGCATAGCCCCGTACAGCTGCGCTCTCTTTGAAATGTGGTAAAAGGCACAGGGAGAAGATTTCTGTCTCGCTGCCACAAGGACAGGAGTATGGAGGGGAAAGGGATCTGATGCTAAACATGTTGCTTGTTACATCCTAAATATGGGGGTAACATGTTCAGAAAGGTGAACTTATAATTTAAAGAGTTAGAGGCCAATGGTAGCTGAAACAGAATAGAAGGGGTTTAAGTGGACCTTTGATAATGCTGAGAGCCAAACACTGGTTCAGATTCAGCTGCAAGAAGGAGAGGATTTGCACCAAGTGAAGTAAGCCTTCAATTTCTGATCATAGACCTTGCAAGAAGTAGACTTCCTAGCTTTTAGCGTATGTACTCTCCAGCGCCTCAGGATATGCACAGCCAAAAGGGAAGCCAAGGGTACGAGGACAGCGACAACCAAAAGGAAATGTTCCAGGGGTGCAGCCCTCCTCAGACGGGGAAATCAGCCACTGGATAGAGAGAAAACAGGTGGCGCACACACCTAGTGCATTATCCAAGGTTTATTGTAGGAATTAAATCATAAAAACATACTCACAGACGAAGCATGTATCTAAAAAGCATAGAAAAATGACAATGGCCACGACGGGCAAGGTGTTCTCACTGTCAGTGCGGTCAAATTGCTGACGCGTTTCGGGGACAAATCCCTTTCCTCAGAGCTGATGACCAACCTCTGATGCTGATGCACGATGAATGGAAAGTAAAGTAAGAGCCCTACTGTTGATGCCTCAACAGCAGGGCTCTTACTTTACTTTCCATTCATCGTGCATCAGCATCAGAGGTTGGTCATCAGCTCTGAGGAAAGGGATTCGTCCCCGAAACGCGTCAGCCATTTGACCGCACTGACAGTGAGAACACCTTGCCCGTCGTCGTGGCCATTGTAATTTTTCTATGCTTTTTAGATACATGCTTCGTCTGTGAGTATGTTTTTTATGATTTAATTCCTACAATAAACCTTGGATAATGCACTAGGTGTGTGCGCCACCTGTTTTCTCTCTCTTCCTAGCTTTTAGCATCATAGGAAAAATTTAGATCACAGACTTAGATGCCCCTGTCCTTCAGATCCTGTTCAAGCTAACGACCATACATCAGGTGGGCAAACCAGTTCGGAGGACAGAAAATCATGACCATTTGGCAGCATCTGCCAGAAGTCTTACCAGGTCAGTGTACCTCATCCGCCTGGGCCAGCACAGAGCAATGAAGATCATCAGAATGCTCTCAATCTTTGTCCTGCAAAGATGGCAAAGACATTTCAGAGGAGAAAAAGCATAGATTAGGGTGTAACAAAAACACAGTGCCATCACCCTAATCAATAGCACACGCACAAGACCATAAGCTGTAAATGTACAGCAGAAACAGCATGTTTTCAGGCACAAATCCTCCCCAGGTGTATGCACTTCCACTCCAGAATCACTGCCAAGAAAAACTCACTAAGAAAGCCCATGATGGCAGTCATGGAGTGCCTGCTCCTCTTCTGCCACCCCCCCTCCGATGCATGTGTCTTCCTCGTGTCCCCTCACCCTCTTCTCATCCTGTCGCAGCCTTTGAAGATAGACTGCACAGGATGAGAGGGGTCACCTCACCCCCCCCTGCCCCTTGTCACCTCCTCACATCCTGACGCAGTCTTTGAAGACAGGCTGGAGACCTCACACCTCTCCGTCCATATAGCCGTGAGAGGAGTGACACCCCGCTGGGGGGATGCCGGCGTGGGGCCGCCAACCTGGCGCCGCACGCCCCCCGGCAGGTGCAGAGCGGGCACGAGGCTTCCCACGCCCTGCACCCGCCGGAGACAAATGCTGCGCCTTGCTGGGCCGGACGTTGCTGAGGCAACCAGGAAGCGTCCTGCCTGGCTTTAAGAAGGCTGGCGCAGGACTCTTCATTGTGGGTCCGCTGCCGAAGGTGCTGGGAGGTCTGCGCTGATGCCAGACTTCCGCAGCCAACCCCGCTGCCACTCTGCATAATACTGAGCATAATACTCCGGGTCAGGACTAGTACCTGCTGCCACTCTACATAATACATATAGATTGTGCAGGTGGACAAGGAGTGTATGGTGAGTGAGATATCTGTACAGTGGAGATTTCATCACGAATTGTATCAATCTTATTTTTGAAGTGATTAGCAATCTCCTGGGCAGTGAGTGAGTTAGAGGGTGGAGGTAAAAAAGGACGAAGTAGAGAGTTAAAGGTAGAAGAGTTGAGAGACATTTCGTAAGAGGGTGTTAAAGAGAATGATAAAATAGGTCTGTTTGGCAGTGTGGGGACAGGAATTGTATTTTTGAAGGGCAGATTTAGATTGGTCAAAGTCTTGTTGGGCCTTAGTCTTACGCCATAAACGCTCAAGAGCACGGCTACATTTTTTGAGGCATCTGGTATTGTCTGTTTGCTGGGGCTGTAGCAATTAGGGCCTAATTCTGTGTGTAATGAGGGGGGCCAATGTGTCCAGGGTGGATGAGAGTGAACTGTTTCAGACAGAAGTGGCCAGGTTGGGGCAGGACAGGGCTAAGATTTTGTCATAGAAAAAGTTGCAGCAAAAAGAAGAGAAGGGTAAGATAGCGAAGGTTTCTACGGGTAACTGTTTGGTAGTTGGAAGACAAAGAGGAAGAAGCCAAGGCGAAAGTGAAGCCAATAAGGGAGTGATTAGAGAGAGGAAAAGGAAAGTTGGTGAGGTTGCCAGGAGTGCATAGGTAGGAGAATACAAGGTCAAGGCACTTACCGTTAGAGAATTAATATCATTATACAGGATTTATACAGCGCCAACAGTTTGCTCATCGCTTTACAATATAAAGGGAGACAATACAGCAACAATACAGTTCAATACAAGAGGGTTAGGA